CTAATTTCCAAATAATATCCTATAAATTCAATTTTCAAATAATATATTAAATCTACCTTTCTAAAATCAATGAAACTAATTGGTCTATAAAAAAATCTTGGGACTAAATTGATCACCATTCCTCAAAATAAAATTTAAAAGTAAATTTTCCATCCTCAAATCTTACACAAACTTACAGAGATGTCTTTTTAATTTCCCCTAAATTTAACTGAAAAATTAAAATATAAAATATTATTCGTTCCTAAAATTGGTTAAAACTGCTTATGTCACACGAAAGATTAATGGAATATATTAACACAATTTAAATTTCAAATTTTAATTAGTAATATTTTGCATATCAAAAGAGAGAAAAATATACTTAAATAAAAAAATATAAAACAATAATTGAAATTACTAATAAATCAATAAATAAAAACTTAAATTTAAAATCATCATTCTATATTTGAAGTCATTTTTGTACTCCTTTTGAAATGTTTTCCAGATAAAAAAGATTCTCATACAAAAATTTATCCCAAATTTAATTCTCATAAATTGTGTACCTTACCTTTCTAGCACAAAAAAAGAAAAAAAGAAAAAAAAAGAAAATATAATAGAAATAAGGTATAACTATAAATTCAATTTTCAAAGAATATATTAAATCTACCTTTCTAAAATCAATTAAACTAATTGGTCTATAAAAAAATCTTGGGACTAAATAGATCACCATTCCTCAAAATAAAATTTATAAGTAAATTTTCCATCCTAAAATCTTACACAATCTTACAGAGATGTCTTTTTAATTTCCCCTAAATTTAACTAAAAAATTAAAATATAAAATATTATTCTTTCCTAAAATTGGTTAAAACTGCTTATGTCACACGAAAGATTAATGGAATATATTAACACAATTTAAATTTCAAATTTTAATTAGTAATATTTTGCATATCAAAAGAGAGAAAAATATACTTAAATAAAAAATATATAACAATAATTGAAATTACTAATAAATCAATAAATAAAAACTTAAATTTAAAATCATCACTTGAAATGGCTCACCTATACTTTTCAAGCCGTAAGTATGTAAACTAGCGGTGAGGTGAGTGATCTTGTTTTTAATGGCACCGATCTCACTTCCGACCTTGTGAACGTCTAGCCATTCGTTGAAGATGCAAGCGAATCTTTTAAGGGTGTTTCGGAAACCCTTTTTGTTCCTTTTGGATGAAACTTGGATGACATAAGTTTCGAGGATGTCTTCGGTTTCATAAGCAAGTTTTCTGATTTCCGCAACCCAGTTGTTGACCCTCGCATCTACATGATGATCAGACTGTATTGCATAATCTGCGTCTTGTAGGAAGCATTGCATTCGCTTTATGAATAAAAAATTATAATATTAATTATTAATATTTATAATATATTTTTATTTTATGATAAATAAGTTTTAATGACACATTGTCAGTGTAGTTCTTCATTTAATTTTTTTTACCCAATTTTACTATCCAATCACAGCTGTAACGTGTTATTTGTGCGTGTGATGACGAGGGGAATCAATGGCAATAAAGAGATTTGCCTTTAGCGGTCATCTGTATGACAATGGAGGAATTATGGGACCCAAAAAAAAAAAATTTACACAAATATAAAAGTGTATAAGTCAGACTTATTAGTTATTCTTATCACCAAACTATTTACACTTTTTATATCTTTATAATTTTTTTCTGTCCCACTGTAAAATAATTCCCCCTATGAGAAAAATGATTTATTGATTAGTTTATTCTTGTGAGTTTGGAACCCAACTTTGATTTTCAATATATTTTTATTTTATTTTAAGGATATGGAGGACAGCCATTCCCCTCTCCTGGAACATCTTGGCCTAATTTAATATTGGAAAACCTAATGGTGTGTACATATATACCCTATTACAATTAGTATAATTTTATTACAAAACTTCATAATATCAATTACAAAATGGATAATCTCATCACAAATGAGCGTAAGAAAATGTTTAAAATTTTATGATTCATGTAATAAAAGTTTATGGGTTTATGGCTTAATTACGATATTTTTATTATGCCAATTTGTGGTGAGGTTATGTATTTTATGGTTAATATTACTCAATTTTGTAGTAAAATTATGTCAATTAAATTTATGATAAGGTGCATATGGTATACACTTTTGAAGTGGTGTTTGGAAGTAAATAATCTTTTAAAATGGGGGATGGTTGACGTGCTATTACGTTGAAAGACAGTTAAATTATACTTTACACCATTCAACTATATTGTTATGTATCATTTTATGCCCCCGCCTCCCACAATTAAAAATGGGGGAATTAATTGTCAGTGGGATAAGGAAAAAAATTTACTAAAACATGGAGAGTGCAAATTGTTTTGTGGTGGGGTATAAGTGAAAATATATGTGATGCAGACTTGCACCCCTTCATGTTTGTGTATATTTTTTTTTGGATAATTCCATTTACACACCGCACAACCTCTTTGTACACACCATTTTCTCAATACACACCACACATATTTTTAATACTTTGATTTTTTCTCACTGCACACCATTAATTTTGAAAAATCCTAAATTACCCATATCTTCTTCACATCTTTATCCCAAATCGTCGGCCGCCACTCTTATCTCCAGTCGCCTACCCTTCTTGCTGTCACCTACTCAAAGAGATGAAGAGTAGAGAATCAATTCTCCCTCTGCGATAGAAAAGCAAAGAATTCATTTATGCTGTGTTTGGTTGAGGGATTTAGGGAGGGATTTGGAAAGGGAAAGGGAAAAGGTGTGTGAAACTATGTGAAATATAAGCATGATTTATTCACATTTCACCTACCTTTTCCATTTCTCTTTCCAAATCCCTCCCCAAATCCCCCAACCAAACAAAGCATTAATGATTCGAGATGAAGAAGAAGAAGGATTTGTCAAAGACCAATCAGATTGAGAGGTTTGGTGGTGTATAAATAGAATCACCTTTCTTTTTTTTTCCTTCTATTTCACTATAAAGTAATTCCCCCATTAAAAATTGTAAAAACTAACCGTTCTCATCTTTTCTTCTTCTTCTTCTTCTTTTTTTATTTTTATTTTTTTATTTTTATTTGGACTGTCAACTATCACCTCATATCACTTCACTCTCTTGAACTATCACATAATATTTAATTTAGACTTTCGATTTTATTTTATTTTCATTTTTTCATTTTTAATTTTTTAGAAAGACAAATTGAAAACCAAACATCGAAATATTTATGATTAAATTTAATAAATGTTCGCTAAAGACAAGAAATATAAAAACATATCAATTTTTTTATGTTTTTTTAGTTTTTCATCTTTAGTCATTAAAAAAAAAATCCCCACATTTTTTAAATATTTTTTTAAATTTTAGGTGCATCTAAAAATTTAAATTTTTAAACTAAAATATGAAAAAAAAAATTACTCAAAACAAATTATGTGAAAAATTATTTTCAAAAAAAGGCTAAAAATTGTATTTTAAATTAAAATCAAACATTTTTTAAATTGATTAGTAGAATAATATTGGGTGATAATTTCTGACTTTTGCAGTCTTCTTTTCTCCATGTTCTAGCCACGACTTTCTTCATTCTTTTACCAGACAACCAGCCTCCTCTTTTGTTCAACTGTCTGCAAATGTCAACCATCCTCTTCACAACAAAACAAAACGCAAACCAAGAAAGATAGTTCATTTGACCAATCACACCACAAGATCCCAAATAGATATAGCAAAATCAGTATGAGGTATGCTTTGGTATGTGTTTTCAAACGATGACATTTTCTTTTTCAAACATAATATCAGGGAATCATGATAGAGAAAAGAAAAGAAATAAAAAAGAAGTGATTTTGTCAAGAAAGGAATTTGCCAAACAAAACACGTAGGATAAGAATCCTAACAAGACGGTTTGATTAATTAATGTGGGTGTGTGTGTGTGTGTGAGAGAGAGAGAGAGAGAGAGAGAGAATTCTGTATGCTCTGGGATGTGCATAAGGTGTTATGTTCCCCTTATCATGTTTGTAGAATTTTAAGGATCAGTGGATTGCATGCCCAACCTTTGATTATCAAGTGATTTTTAACAGAAAGTATACTACAATGAACACTGCTGGAAATTTTACATTTAGCGGTGTTTAAAAAATGCCAATATAGGTATAAAAAACGCTGCTAATTCTATTTGTCACGTTTAGTACCAAACGCCGAAGATGCAGCCTCCGCTATAACGTTATGACGCTTTAAAAACATCGTTAGATTAGTATAAGCGGCGTTTTAAAAAATGCCTCTAAATGTGATAAATAAAGATAAAATGACGTCATCCAATATTTAGCGACGCTTTAAAAATGCCGTGACAGATTTTTTCCTGTTTTAAAAAAAAAAAAATATATTGTATCACAGTCCAAAAATCGATTTTTAAACATTTTAGGCTTGGACTGCAAGGTTTCAAAGATGAGATAATGAAATGGTACAGCTGCACACATTAAGGAACAGGAGAAGATCATCAGAATTCAGTTGAAGATAAGGAAGCCTTGATTAAACAGAATTCTTTAAAAATGTTCCGTTTCCATCCACTTCACATCATCTTAAGAATTGCCATTTACTATCCCATTGTCAAGACTTTATCTGTTGAGATCTCCATTTTGTCAGACTGGCTAACATTCCGAATATTTGTGACAAGTTCAGATGCACGTTCTGTTAAAAACTGATCCCAACTTCTCTCTTTAATTTTGAAATCGTCACCACCATCGGAATGATGATCACTGAAGGATGTATGAAGCCGAATGTTTGAGCACAACACAAAAAGGGTAACACCAATCGCTTCCCTCACCTATCCAAACAAAACTTGCATCAAGTTCTGACAATAAGAGCAACTTCCCGACTCTTTCTGTGGTCATAAACTGCATAGTTATTAACTTAAGGATGCTTGGTTAAAGTTTCAGGAAGCAGTTTACATGAAATCTAGAACTTCATAACCCTTTCCTTATTAAGCACTTTATGAAAAATATGCATGGGTTCTGATCCAGAATTGAGGCCAAACAAATAAAAGATAATTAAAATCTACTTCTAGTTGTTCTTTTATATGTTAAAACCATTATTCACACAAGTTTTGATGATTCTTCCACAATTGATGATTTCTTCCATACTCAGAAATCACTTGATCAAGCTAATTTAAGGCATAGAAGACTTCCTAATTGGGACGCATCTAATGGTGTGTCCAGCAAACATCCAATGTCCAGAGCGTACTGTAGTTCTCCCCTATCCATATCTTAAAACAGAGAATTCACATCAACAAAAATCCCAGCAGCACGCAAATACAATTCTCTACTGCAAGAATTAAAAAGAATCCATAAACTATTTGTGAGAAAACAATTTTTATTTTTATTTTTAACAAAAGGTATGCAAAGAATATTTTTGGATGATTGAAAGAGGAAAGAAAAGCATAAACTAAATATATTTTGGCAAGTTATTTCCCACAATCAAGCTTGGAACTAGTATATAATGAGAACTTGTAACAGAATATCTAGAAATATGTTATAAGATTGGAATTCTGTAGAAAATTGTGTTACTCAAAGAACCATAAGCATGTATCAAATGAGTTGAAGGGAAAAAAATATGAGGAAAAAGGAAAAGGATTAAGAAGGTTTTTAATTAAAATAACAAAACTAAATAATGTTTGACATTGCTAATAAAAATTAAAATATACCAAATAAATGAGTCAACAAAGAAGCTTCAAGTCAATTGATAATAAAAACAAGGAAATTCTAGTCAAAAATTTATTCGTCGTAAAGTGTACATGAAAAATTTATATGTTTACATATATATATATACATATGAATAAAGGGTACAAGAATTAGAGTCATCCAAACATTTCAAAGAGCTAAATTGTACAATTTTATATGTTTTCATTGAATCTGGATCTCCATGGCTTCATAGTGTAACAATCATGGAGTAAACAGCAAACCTATGACTGATTGGAAAACTTAAAACCCACTGAACTATAAGAGATTGGTACTATTTATTTGCGGTCTATTAGGAATGCATTCAAAGTAACAAAGAATGTGTAGAATACTAAAATCCTATTTTGAAAAGGAAAAATATATATATATATATATAGTACCTGATCTTGCAGAACATAGTATTATGATCAAAGTTCACAAATAATAATTCAAATGGAAATGGCAACAAAACATAGTATTATGAACAAAGTTCACAATTAAGAACTTCTATGTGTATGTACAGCTAAACCATTTTAATACCTGTCATACAAACGAGCAGCAGCTTCTTGAGATCCAACAGTGCCCAAGTGAATTTGTTTCTTGTCAACTTTTATGGCTGCCTGCCATTTCATATTCTTAAAATAGACACCTCTCATCAGACATGGTTCTTGGTTCTCAAAATGCTTTGTCCGATGTTGCTTTCTGCGTTTGACCTCTGGCACTGCAAAAAAACAAGCATCAGTTTAAAGGCTAAAGGCATTGCTGACACAAGAAACCAGGTCCGCCCAGGAGGGGGATATATATGAGGATTGGCAATAGATAAATTTTGAGTTCAGTAAATATAATAAAGTAACAAAATTTTGTAAAATGTGTATATAAAAGGAAAAACCTGGATATTGTTGATTATGCTGCTCTTTTGATGAGCTAGAACCAGATGCATTTGATGACCCAGGACTTAACTTTGAAATGGTTTTATGGGAAGCAAAAGCAACACGTACAATATGAATATAAAGCTTGAAGTACAGGATAGAACATGTAAACAATCGCTGACTATCTATTTAGATAAAATAAATAAAAAAAGTAATCAATTTGTGCTACTAATTTTATATCTCAAATGAACAGAGTATATACGATCACTGAAGGATGTATGAAGCCGAATGTTTGAGCACAACACAAAAAGGGTAACACCAATCGCTTCCCTCACCTATCCAAACAAAACTTGCATCAAGTTCTGACAATAAGAGCAACTTCCCGACTCTTTCTGTGGTCATAAACTGCATAGTTATTAACTTAAGGATGCTTGGTTAAAGTTTCAGGAAGCAGTTTACATGAAATCTAGAACTTCATAACCCTTTCCTTATTAAGCACTTTATGAAAAATATGCATGGGTTTTGACCCAGAATTGAGGCCAAACAAATAACAGATAATTAAAATCTACTTCTAGTTGTTCTTTTATATGTTAAAACCATTATTCACACAAGTTTTGATGATTCTTCCACAATTGATGATTTCTTCCATACTCAGAAATCACTTGATCAAGCTAATTTAAGGCATAGAAGACTTCCTAATTGGGATGCATCTAATGGTGTGTCCAGCAAACATCCAATGTCCAGAGCGTACTGTAGTTCTCCCCTATCCATATCTTAAAACAGAGAATTCACATCAACAAAAATCCCAGCAGCACGCAAATACAATTCTCTACTGCAAGAATTAGAAAGAATCCATAAACTCTTTGTGAGAAAACAATTTTTATTTTTATTTTTAACAAAAGGTATGCAAAGAATATTTTTGGATGATTGAAAGAGGAAAGAAAAGCATAAACTAAATATATTTTGGCAAGTTATTTCCCACAATCAAGCTTGGAACTAGTATATAATGAGAACTAGTAACAGAATAGCTAGAAATATGTTATAAGATTGGAATTCTGTAGAAAATTGTGTTACTCAAAGAACCATAAGCATGTATCAAATGAGCTGAAGGGAAAAAAATATAAGGAAAAAAGAAAAGGATTAAGAAGGTTTTTAATTAAAATAACAAAACTAAATAATGTTTGACATTGCTAATAAAAATTAAAATATACCAAATAAATGAGTCAACAAAGAAGCTTCAAGTCAATTGATAATAAAAACAAGGAAATTCTAGTCAAAAATTTATTCGTCGTAAAGTGTACATGAAAAATTTATATGTTTACATATATATATATACATATGAATAAAGGGTACAAGAATTAGAGTCATCCAAACATTTCAAAGAGCTAAATTGTACAATTTTATATGTTTTCATTGAATCTGGATCTCCATGGCTTCATAGTGTAACAATCATGGAGTAAACATCAAACGTATGACTGATTGGAAAACTTAAAACCCACTGAACTATAAGAGATTGGTACTATTTATTTGCGGTCTATTAGGAATGCATTCAAAGTAACAAAGAATGTGTAGAATACTAAAATCCTATTTTGAAAAGGAAAATATATATATATAGTACCTGATCTTGCAGAACATAGTATTATGATCAAAGTTCACAAATAATAATTCAAATGGAAATGGCAACAAAACATAGTATTATGAACAAAGTTCACAATTAAGAACTTCTATGTGTATCTACAGCTAAACCATTTTAATACCTGTCATACAAACGAGCAGCAGCTTCTTGAGATCCAACAGTGCCCAAGTGAATTTGTTTCTTGTCAACTTTTATGGCTGCCTGCCATTTCATATTCTTAAAATAGACACCTCTCATCAGACATGGTTCTTGGTTCTCAAAATGCTTTGTCCGATGTTGCTTTCTGCGTTTGACCTCTGGCACTGCAAAAAAACAAGCATCAGTTTAAAGGCTAAAGGCATTGCTGACACAAGAAACCAGGTCCGCCCAGGAGGGGGATATATATGAGGATTGGCAATAGATAAATTTTGAGTTCAGTAAATATAATAAAGTAACAAAATTTTGTAAAATGTGTATATAAAAGGAAAAACCTGGATATTGTTGATTATGCTGCTCTTTTGATGAGCTAGAACCAGATGCATTTGATGACCCAGGACTTACTTTTGAAATGGTTTTCTGGGAAGCAAAAGCAACACGTACAATATGAATATAAAGCTTGAAGTACAGGATAGAACATGTAAACAATCGCTGACTATCTATTTAGATAAAATAAATAAAAAAAGTAATCAATTTGTGCTACTAATTTTATATCTCAAATGAACAGAGTATATACGATCACTGAAGGATGTATGAAGCCGAATGTTTGAGCACAACACAAAAAGGGTAACACCAATCGCTTCCCTCACCTATCCAAACAAAACTTGCATCAAGTTCTGACAATAAGAGCAACTTCCCGACTCTTTCTGTGGTCATAAACTGCATAGTTATTAACTTAAGGATGCTTGGTTAAAGTTTCAGGAAGCAGTTTACATGAAATCTAGAACTTCATAACCCTTTCCTTATTAAGCACTTTATGAAAAATATGCATGGGTTCTGATCCAGAATTGAGGCCAAACAAATAAAAGATAATTAAAATCTACTTCTAGTTGTTCTTTTATATGTTAAAACCATTATTCACACAAGTTTTGATGATTCTTCCACAATTGATGATTTCTTCCATACTCAGAAATCACTTGATCAAGCTAATTTAAGGCATAGAAGACTTCCTAATTGGGATGCATCTAATGGTGTGTCCAGCAAACATCCAATGTCCAGAGCGTACTGTAGTTCTCCCCTATCCATATCTTAAAACAGAGAATTCACATCAACAAAAATCCCAGCAGCACGCAAATACAATTCTCTACTGCAAGAATTAGAAAGAATCCATAAACTCTTTGTGAGAAAACAATTTTTATTTTTATTTTTAACAAAAGGTATGCAAAGAATATTTTTGGATGATTGAAAGAGGAAAGAAAAGCATAAACTAAATATATTTTGGCAAGTTATTTCCCACAATCAAGCTTGGAACTAGTATATAATGAGAACTAGTAACAGAATAGCTAGAAATATGTTATAAGATTGGAATTCTGTAGAAAATTGTGTTACTCAAAGAACCATAAGCATGTATCAAATGAGCTGAAGGGAAAAAAATATAAGGAAAAAGGAAAAGGATTAAGAAGGTTTTTAATTAAAATAACAAAACTAAATAATGTTTGACATTGCTAATAAAAATTAAAATATACCAAATAAATGAGTCAACAAAGAAGCTTCAAGTCAATTGATAATAAAAACAAGGAAATTCTAGTCAAAAATTTATTCGTCGTAAAGTGTACATGAAAAATTTATATGTTTACATATATATATATACATATGAATAAAGGGTACAAGAATTAGAGTCATCCAAACATTTCAAAGAGCTAAATTGTACAATTTTATATGTTTTCATTGAATCTGGATCTCCATGCCTTCATAGTGTAACAATCATGGAGTAAACATCAAACCTATGACTGATTGGAAAACTTAAAACCCACTGAACTATAAGAGATTGGTACTATTTATTTGCGGTCTATTAGGAATGCATTCAAAGTAACAAAGAATGTGTAGAATACTAAAATCCTATTTTGAAAAGGAAAATATATATATATAGTACCTGATCTTGCAGAACATAGTATTATGATCAAAGTTCACAAATAATAATTCAAATGGAAATGGCAACAAAACATAGTATTATGAACAAAGTTCACAATTAAGAACTTCTATGTGTAT